ACTGTACACAATCCAGGCTCAACTCTCTAGTGAAAAGCTGTGATGAGGTTCATTTGGAGAGGGATCACTGTACACAATCCAGGCACCACTCTCTAGTGAAAAGCTGTGATGAGGTTTATTTGGCGTGGGATCACTGTAAACGATCCGGGCTCCACTCTCTAGAGACAAGCTGTGATGAGGTTCATTTGGTGTTGGATCACTGTACACAATCCAGGCTCAACTCTCTAGTGAAAAGCTGTGATGAGGTTCATTTGACGAGGGATCACTGTACACCATCCGGGCTCCACTCTCAAGTGACAAGCTGTGATGAGGTTCATTTGACGAGGGATCACTGTACACGATCTGGGCTCCACTATCTAGTGACAAGCTGTGATGAGGTTCATATGGCGTGGGATGACTGTACACGATCCGGGCGCCACTCGCTAGTGACAAGCTATGATGAGGTTCATTTCGCGTGGGATCACTGTACACGATCGGGCTCCACTCTCTAGTGACAAGCTGTGATGTGTTTCATTTGGCGAGGGATCACTGTACACAATCTAGGCTCCACTCTCTAGTGACAAGCTGTGATGAGGTTCATTTGGCGAGGGATCACTGTACACGATCCGGGCTCCACTCTCTAGTGACAAGCTGTGATGAGGTTCATTTGGCGTGGGATCACTGTACACGATCCGGGCTCCACTCTCTAGTGACAAGCTATGTAAGCATTATGTAGGTGTAGCATTATCACATTGTCAACGATAGAAAACAATTGTTTTCTTTAATTCTCTACATTTTGTGGTAAATTTGATCATACATCAGTACATAGGAGACTGCCAGCACAATATGACATTTTTTCTGGTTTCAATACGTCACAGAATACATATTTATAATTTCGTCTTTTCATTTTGTATTTTTCTGTCCTAGAAATCAATCAAATCATCAAGTACCTTAATGCAAAAAAAAAAATCACTGCATATTATTGAATCTTTGAATGACGAAGGAAGTCCCTTGCAAATGCTCGATCCGTATTAATATTAAAGAAAGAAAAAAGCTGCTTATTTATTATGTTACTTGTTAATAAAGAGTGCTTAAAAAAAATGTTAAACAAATGTCTATTGGAAAAACGTTCAAGAATGTGGTAAAATGTCGCTGCCTTAACCTTTCGTTCAGAACTTACCTTTCGCTTGATGTACCCAGACAAACCCTTAGTTACAACTGTAATATTCGAGAAAAGGAAGCTTAGTTGGATCCCTACAGAACTTCAATGTACCAACTAGAAAAGCCCTTTATAAGGTAACAACGGTAGCATGCAATGAAGGAAGAACCATCCCTACAGATCTGATTGCTAGTATGTTTCTTGAATAATGCCCCATAGAACTGGAACATCTCTGTTCTCACTGAGATTTAGAGACTTCAGCGTTTACCAGTAGTACTGTTGTATTAATTGCTCCGGAGGTGTACTGGGCCATGGAGATACTCCAGTCTATAATCTAATTGTACCCTGTGGGCGATATCACCGATACGTCATAATTCTTGTTCCACTGATTCCAGATAGCTGAGCTCAAGGCTCCTCGACAGCAGCACCATATATTCAAAACACTAACCATCTATCATGCGGAAACCAATTTCAAAGCAAATGATTTCTGAACAATAAAGAAAATTTGTTATCAAGTTTGATATTCATGTGAAATTTTTTGCCAAGGGTGCATAAATATGACTGTAATAATACACGGAGCAGGTATCATATATTGGACCTAAAAATATTTTGTTTTTTGAATGGTTAATTATAACTATTCCGTTTCTACAAAAGACGAATTTGATTTTAAATATATTATCGGCATTTAACGAAAGATGGCAACATCCCTATAGCTATAATACTTAAGAAAGCTTGTACCATTTAATTTATTATTTGATACATTCATTTTTAAATACCAACAGACACACATTAGCTTTGTATGTCTTCTACAACTCGTTTGAAATCAAAACAGCATATTTATTGTTATTTCATGCAAGCCATCAGTCATAACAAATACTAGATCTCTAGTTTCCAGAAGCTTATACCAATGGTTTCAAGAATTTAGGAAGAATTTCACTCCAAATTTGAAATAGTGACAAAATATATACTGGCATGTTCTGATATGCTATCAACACAGAAGTTACCTCCCTTTGAATAATCACTGCTGTTTTAACGTTCTTCTAAGCATTCTTAAAGCAGTGTTTGTTTACCAAAATTTTACAACAGCCTGTTCCTTTACAAATTGGGAAATATAGCATTATTTACAATGATATTGGGAATACATTCCATTTTTTTTTGTTCAATGAGGGAAAATAATGCACTTTCTAACTAGTGGAAACGGCTGTAAAACTGAACCAAAAAAATTTCTGCCAAGTTAAATCTTTGGAGCTATTACTGCAACAAACACTGGGAATGGATCAATGTCATTTATCATTGTCAAGTAATTTGTGTAGTTCCATTAATTCCTGTCAACAATTTTCTAAGAAATCAAACATCTCTCATTGCTCCATGACCATCATAAAATACAGCATATCAAATGTGAAACTAAAACACGATATTGGCCCTAGAGGAATAGCGTCATACTGAATGACTGGAGTGGTTTTGAGCTCTCAGTAATAAATGCTTTTAGTATCAACAAACAAAACAAACATTATTAATCATTTAAAACCTTTGAAATTTTGAATTGTTTATGTTTTATTTTCCCTATTACACTAAAAAGCTATAACTCTTTAATGTAGCTATGAACGAAATCAATTGATATTTTAAAAACAAATGCAAATTTAAAGGAAAACGAGAAGGAATCTAAATTGTGGTAGGATGATGATGGTTTCAAGTTCTCCGTTATAGAACACTTTTTTTATTTAACCCATTCACCCCTAAAGTCACATTTTGAGCCTTGCCAAATCAAAGACTGGACAGGTCCAGTTTAGATATGTAGGGGCGAATGAGTTAAATTGCTTCATTGTGAAGGTCCTTTTGATAAACATAGAAAATGCTACAACGGATATAGGCTACCATTATGCTATCTATAGTGATCCATATGTATTTGTTAGAACAGAGATTGAAATATATATTTTGTAGCCGATCTCTTGAAGTCACCAAATGTGATGTATTCATTGCTACAGAAATTGACGAGGAGTTTCACATAGAATGTGGGTGGCCAACAGGGGTTTCAAACTCGTGGCCTTACGCGCCTTCTGGCGCGGAGGGGAATTAAGGTAATTAAAGGTAAATGGTTTTCAAACTGCGAATGGCACAATATAATGTCTTCCGCGAATCGCTTGCAAATCCGACAACGTCATGCCATAAAACATCCCCTCTGAAACAGGCTTATAAACTATTTAATGTGCATGCACTAATACTGTCTTCATTGGTTTTAATTTTTTTTCAAAATCCCTTGTAAATAATTTGAACAGATATTCCAAGCTGAGCTCAATAAATCACAAGCAACAAAGATGATGACAAAACACGATGCATTCTCATGCCCCATTTGGGTTTTGATGATCTCAGTATCGGTATGAAATATTAACACAATGTTTACAACTTTTTAATTCGAAATCCTTTAAGAATAATCCGAACAGACATTCCAAGCTGAGCTCAATGAATCACAAACAACAAAGATGACGAAAAAAGACGATGCATTTTCATGCCCCATTAGGGTTTTAATTATCTCAAATATCAGTATGAAATATTAACACCTAAATTAATTGAGTCATAATTTCTTCAGAGTGAAACAGGACCTTGACTTTCTATATGGAACATGAAAGTTTTGAATTTCATGACTGCACATATCACCATTTGATCTTGGATGTATGACGCTCTGCACATTATACACTGCAACTGTTATACTGATAAAGGAATATTTCCGATAAAATCTCAATATATGGTGACAAAGGTCATGTGCGAGCTTCACGCTATCGCACAGACCTCAGAGAACTTCGAAACACATACGATAATGAAACAGACAAAATATATATATGCAACGCCACCGAGGAAATTTGGTGAAATATCTCCTGTAATTGATAATCAATTTATCGGGGTAGTGTGTCTGCCGAACACTTCCTAACTCAATGCTAGAGCATTGGCTTTAATCTGCTACAATGGTTAAGGGTTATTGCAGTATCCGATTCAATGGTGGTAGAACTAAAGGAGAAACTTTTACTTGTATTACGAAGGAAAAATGTCTGTCCCTTACAGCAACCCGCACAAAAACGACCTTCGATTCCCCTCCAATGAGTTCCTTTTTTTAAGGGTTCATACTTTCTTACCTCCTTTTCAAAAGGTTCCACACTTAAGGGTACATGCTACCTGATACTGTCACTTATACCTCCTTTATAAACAAGTTTCAGACTAATGAAAAAAGTTTAAATATGTCTTTAAATTCAAAGAAAATTAATTTGGACATTTTTGATAAATCAATGAATTAAAAAAACCACACAAGAGAACACTTGTAAATTGTAAAATACTCAGGAAATTAAAATTTTAAAACTTTTAGGGACATAGCTCTAACACAAATCAAGGGTACATGAACTTCAAACAGATACTCAAACATTGTTGTATAATCTTAACATTGTAGTAAGTGGCGTTTAGTTAATCCAGCGACCTTTGTTCCCCGAGCTCAGGGGCTGGATTGCAGTTTTTGTGAAACAGCTGCAGGATAACTGGGACACTTCTGTTCCAATATCTAAAGGATCACTGACGATTGAGAAAAGTTACAGCTTAGTGGCAACTGGCCATGATTAACATGGCTTGACTGAATATATAAAGTGAAACCAGAGCAAACTGAAATCCTGACTGTGACTATACAGAGTCCAAACCTAGCACACCATCCAGCACATTGGTTTCACAAACTCTCAAATGACCTGAGGTGATCCTGGTCAGCATCTGATAACAGTTATGTCCTGATAATAATTGTCTCCTGTAGTAAAAACAGAGCAACAAATTTACACACCAGAATGGGCTTATCGAAGGTAAAGCTAAAACAGATTAATAGTATACTGACCTACAGGCTTTTCCTTGGTGGGCCACATTTTCAACCCTTTCTACCTGGAAGATAAAACAATTTAAATATGTCAAAATCACATATTTTTTTTATATCTACAAATGTATACAGGAATATCTATTTACTGGAAGAATAGGAATTTTTACATTGAGGCAGTGAGGTGTTGTCCTTGTGATGTATTTTAAGTATTTTTACATTGAGGCAGTGAGATGCAGTGCTTTGTGATGTATTTTAAGTAAAGTTCCATTATGGTTGGCATTTTTCAGACTTGGGAGTTGCCTGCCCTTAGCAAAGCAACTGTAATTTCTTTTTTCACAAGCCAATTTCTGGTACAGAGATTTCATCCCTGGAACCCTTGGCTATAAAGACAGGAGCTTAGCAACGGTACCACGTTCCAGTTATGACATTTGTTCTGTTAATAATTTTTTTGCTAAAATTATTGGGAATAATTTCAATTTTCAAAAGTCCCACAAACTATAATTATCTTTGTAATTGAAAATAGAACAATTCATATAAATTTGACAATAACCTCAAGGTGTATACAGTAGAAAATTAGTGGCACAATCTTCCTTTACCTGACATTATACATGTTATAATTCTTACATCAAATGAAAACCATGTACAGTAAAAAGCACATGAATCCCTGAATAGAGTTGAACCAGTGCACTAATGTCAGTCAATCTACGAGAATTTATCTAATAATCAACGCCGTTAGAAACTGTTGTTGTGTGTGTACATATTTACATCTAGGTCGATAAGGTTCTTGGGGCCTGTTGTTCGGTTGTGATGAGGTTTTAGTGCCATACAAACATAGCATCGATGCATATACACATCTTTTAGTCTATTTTCCCCCTGCGAGATACAAAACAAGAAGTCCCAAGGGCCTGTATCACTCACCAGGATATTTGAACAATCATGGCAAACAATTACCCGGAAAAGAAATACAATGTATTGAAATAAGTCTCTAGGGGTGGGGAATGACCCTGGGGCTTTAATCCTGATAACACAATGATGGGGTCTAGCTCTTCATGGGTAGCAAGCACATATATTGTAATCAGATGGTGATCAATCTAAAGACCAATGGACTAATTCTCTAGAGATATCTATATCAATCTCTTCACGCCCATCAATTGTATATACATAATATTACAGTGTGGGAATTTCAACTGTTTCCATGTTATGACCCAGGGACTAAGTTCCAAGGGCCCAGCTGGGGTAGAGGGGGACCCCCTTACCCATCCTGGTAGAATATATGTAATCTATCATTTGACAACCAGCCATTAGATACCTGGATGCGGGGTAGGTCAATCGGGGTAGGTCAATCATAACTATTACCATTTTATGAGCCGGGGATGAAGTTCCCAGGTAGACGAACGGACCAAAGAGCTGATCCTAGAAACATATCTGTATTTACACTTTCAATTATAAATACCTATCAATTGTTTATATATGGTTATCAAGGGTGGGAATCTCACCAGATTTCATGTTGTGACTCAGGGAGTAAGTCCCTTGGGATGGGATCAGACCCAAGTGTCAATCCATATACAATGGTTGTGTTTGTGCCTTCACGCTTAGCAATTTTACCCCTCCATTTGAATAGTTTTGAATCCTTACTTTATAGCTATAACTACAATCATTGAAACCTAGAGGAGAAGTAACTTCAAACAGTATGGACAAATCACTCATTTTGGCCTGCTTCTCAAATCCCAAGAGCTCAGCCTCTCCAGTTGTATAATTTTTAATCCCCACGTCCTAAATATGTTTCAATTAGTCAAATTGGATAAAATTCTGTTCTGTAGTTCAGAAGAAGTTGTTGGTGGATAGACTGATGGATGATGGATGACCCGTATGGTATGGAAATTTGGCTCACTTTGGTACTTCTGACCAGGTGTAAAAACATCTGATTCAACAAACTTCTTGCAGCCAAATCATTCAATTGCCAACAAGTCTGCTGATGAACAAACATCCCACTGATACAGACACCTGAGTAAAAACCAATTTTGTGAGCCTAGTGTTACCTGTATATTAGCGCCGAGCTATTTTTACGTGTTCCAATGATATTTTAAAATGTCCTAGGTACACAGTTACATCTATTATTCACTTGTTTCCAAGCATCTTTTACCTATGAATATAAATCTATAACTCTTCCGTGAGCTTTACATAGACATCAATAAATCCAGCTGATTAAAGTTAGTACAAGTACACGGCGATGTTTAAATCTAATCTACGTGGCCAGGATAAAAAGCCGAACTAATTTCTAGTGTACGCAGACAGGTGCTCCTACACCGGTACTGTGCAAATGGTTTATTGATTGGTGTATCAGATCCTCCAGAAGACATGATACAAAATGCACATGTAAATCCAGTGTTTATCCTTGGTTGCTATGGAACCGATACACACTAAAGAGGAAGCTATCAGTGGAATGAATACTGGACCAGAAATCAGCTATTGTTTTGTGTATGAAACCACCCCGAGTCCAACTACACGATAAACTAGAAATGTCATCACCACTGTAATATCATGTTACTTAACATTTGTGCCGAATTTGCTCTTATTTGTTTGAAATTGCTGTTCGCCCAGAGTACAACTACTCGATAAACTAGAAATGTCATCACCACCGTGACTTCATGTAACTAAACATTTGTGCCGAATTTGCTCATATTTGTTTGAAATTGCTGTTCACCCAGAGTACAACTACTCGATAAATTTGAAATGTCATCACAACCATAACATTTTACTAGACATTTGTGCTGAATTCACCCGAATATGTTTTAAATTGCACTGTTTTTACTCTAATATGAAATTGCTCTTCCATGATAACCAGAAAAGGCAAAGGAAAAATATGTATATGGTGAAAAAATATATGCATAATTACTGAATAAGCAAATTGTTAGCTCCTTTAATTTATGGATATAACTGTAATTGGTAGTAATGAATTTGGTCTACTATTTGTAAACCAGTCTTGTTAATTTAATCCTCAAAACCAAGGTTCATTACAGGTAAAATGATATTTGGGATGGAAGGGTATAGAATGGGGAACTGCGGTTTTGGTAAAGGGAATGGTATCTTTATCCAAAAGCACAGATTTATTACTGGCGACACGTGTACGATGAACGGAAAACATAAAATTGAAAACTGAAACCTACCTGTACAAAATATTTACAAATCTTTGTCCCAGACTGTCACTTCATCGTGGCTGTATCTCTGAAAGAAAAAAAAAGGAAACATTTAATTGCATGAACCTGCCTCCAAGTGACCACCTGTCTATAATGAGCACCTGTTTATATAAGTCCACTTATCTAAAATGACTACCTGCCTCCATGCATAAAACCAAACTTTTCATTAAGAAAACTTTCTCCCAGAATCACTACTTCCTCACTCTCAACTCAATAGATTAACATGTAAGGAGTTGAATTGGTGAACATTTTTGATAACCCACTATTGGGTAACACCCCGGACGTCTTCCATTTGTGATAACCCACTATTGGGTAACACCCCGGACGTCTTCCATGTGTGATAACCCACTATTGGGTAACACCCCGGACGTCTTCCAATTATTATGTCCTGTAACAATGCTTTGCGATGTCATCTTCCTGATGTCATATAGTTCATTGTGTACGTATGTTTCCCTGAAAGGAATTTACATGAATAATGAATTCTCAAGAGAAACATATGGATGTCGAGGTATGGTCCCCAAACTCATGATGGTGGATTATCATGTTCATCTGACTATCATAAGTTTAAAAGCTTCCAGCTAGACTACCTCGGTTGATTTAATAGCCCTAGCCTGCAATCGTTCAGATAATGTGTTATATTTATTTAAAGGACAGAATGGATTTTTTTTTAACTAAACTTGCATAAAATCAGTAGGATTTCCTGTAATAGACATATAGGTATCTGTCTAAAACATACAGTATAATTTACATGTTTTGTGTTCGTATCTATTATGCATGCATTTTTTTCCAAGGACGTAGTGTGAGTGTTAAATTACCAGAAGTTATTTCCAGTCATGGCCCTGAAGACTCCCTGTACCACTGCACTGTGATTTTTCCTATACATTAACCCTTCCCTAACTTCCGTTTGAATATAACTCCATGTACAACAGTTTGGGCAGGACACCACCAATGTCTATACCAGGTAGCTCAATCAGTTAGAGCGATATTATAAATATCTGAAGTCCAGGGTAGGAATCTCGGTCAAGCTCAATCGGTTAGAGCGATATTATAAATATCTGAAGTCCAGGGTAGGAATCTCGGTCAAGCTCAATGGAGTCATTATACACTCAAAACACTATCATGATTTTATTATCTTCATGTCATCTTTATTATTTCTCAGAAAAGTCAGAAAAGTCGAAAACAAATTGCCAACCTATCTACCTTAATTCAGGTTTGGTTTGGTTTGTTTGTGTTTACGTCCCTTTAACAGCTAGGGTCATTTAAGGACGTGCCAGGTTTTGGGGGTGAAGGAAAGCCAGAGTTTCCGAAGAAAAACCACCGACCTACGGCCAGTACCGGACGACTAACCCACGTAGGCCTCGAACCTGCGACTCAGTGGTGGAGGGCTAGTGGTAGCAGAATGTCACCCCTCCCTAAATTCATGTAACCTGGCCATGGGTAATTTACAGTATCAATATGGTACAACTTCTACAATATTTAAAAGAAATTTACAGACCTACCAAATATTGATGTTTTCTCACAAACACAGCATGAGATATATATGCTACTGAAAACTGCCGTTGAATTTACGATTGACAACTTGAAGACATGTGCAAGATTTATTTACCTATAAATATACGGTTTATAACTGGCACATGCATGCGTACATGGGAATGCTGGATTTATGATTCTGTGTACTTAAGAAACATGCCCAATATGATTAATATACATACAAACTGTCATGTGTAGATTGATCTACAGTCAAGTCAATCTTTATGGCTGTCAAAATCTATTACTGTTCCGTAAATGAATTCGGCAAAAAACCAAATAGATTTTGAAAATACTTCCTAGCTATGCATGATATTTCACTGTCGTAACAGCTGAGATATGATGTTTCAGATGACATAAATATCTTTATCATACAATTACAGACATTCGTGACAGTACACCAACTTCCTAGCTATTACGTCTTTACGTATTGCAGAGTTGTCTTCTCTTGTGAGCAGGTAATGATTGTTACGTCATTGGTTTGTGTTAGAAAATTACGTCGTTTTCTCAAAAGTTGATGAAGTTACTCTCACAAGCCAATGACGTAACAATCAATACCTGCTCACAAGAGAAGATAACTCTGCAATACGCAAATACGGAATAGCTACAACTGAACATTTATCATGATCAAGACTAGCTGTGTTTGATGATCGCAAGCGATAACATTTAAACAACACATGGAATATAAGGAACAAAAGGAAAGTGATCAATTACAATGTTACAAGATCATTTCAAATATACAACTTTTTTTAACATTTAAATCACTGTAATGCTTCGCAATTTCTGTAAATTAAGCAAGTAACAGGATGACAATTTCCTGTATGTCAGATAAATAGACTAAACACAGAAAATGTTGCCCTTCATATGATGACAGAAATATTAGCAAACATCTTCCTCTACATAGAGGGCTCTAATGACATTTACTGGATGCGAACACACTTCTAGTTGATACATAAAGCCATTTAAAAAATAAAAAATATAAAATAAAAATTTCAAACATAGCGACAATTCAGCACCACGAGGTTAATTACACCTTGTAAGGATAAATTACTTGAGTAACACTCTGGGTGATTGACTCGGTGATTACAGTAGATATTGATGATTTCCCTGGGCAAAAGTTTCCCAGGTTATAGTACTTCCATGGAGTTCAACTATATATTTAGGTATACAGTAGTATAAGACTCTTTCATGCCCAGGGGTGAAGGATAGGGAAATTCCACCCGGGTGGTTTTTTAACTTTGATAAAACCCAAAGCTTTGCAGAGGGTTTTTTCCAAATTAGAAAATCCTGAGGGCGGATAAAATTATGTAGAATGATAGATAACTGTTAATACCTCAAGGTTATCTCCCCTGTAATGACAATGTGTGAACTGGTGGTACTCTAGTCTGCTATTATACAGGGTGAATCAGAGAAATTACATGATTCATATATATAAAAGTCAATAGAGTTGTGAACTCGCTAGCTCTTATAATATGAGAACTTAAGAATATTGTACATTTGTGTGTATGTACGGTGTGTGACATATGTCGGTGTTCTTTTTTATAACACATTATTCTAGCAGGCTTGACTTGATCTGACAGAAGATAAAGTGCTCAATAAAAAGTCATTCTTGGTGGGGTTTTTAACGTTTCAGTGATATCCTTTGTTACAATTAGTGTTAGGAACTGGAAGAGAAATCGTAATCAATTAATGGAAGTCCTTTCATGAACGATTATTGATTATAATTGGAGTTAACAAATTTTGATCATTTCTTTTTAAATATAAGTACATTGTATATGGTTTAGTGTTGAGGTTTACAATGTAAAATTTTGCAAGGTAGGTACGATCAAGTGTTGCCCACAGTAGTCCATTTTTAAACACTTCAACTTTATAATTTTAGCTTAAAACTTACCAAAAATCCATTAAGATTTAATCTATTATGTACCTCCTAACCATTGGTGAAGTGACATTTGAGGTGAATGATAAGTAGAAATCTACAGAAAATGACATTAAATAATTTCACCTGATTGATTAATTGCGGAATTTCACATTTGATTAACTGGAATCTGTTGGGTACTTGATAGATTTCCGTTGGTTCGGTTTGTTTTTGTTTTACCTCCTATTAACAGATATGGTCGTTTAATATACGGATGTGCCAGGTTTTGGTGGTGGAGGCCAGTACCTGGGGCTGCCCCACGTGGGTCTCCCCCCGCCCACCCCCCCTCCCCCCCTCAACCCAGTGGTGGAAGGCTAGTGGTAGCAGAATGTCAGACGCCTTATAACCACTTAGCCACCACGATCATTGATTGATTTTTGATCATAATCAAGGAACAACAGAACTTGTTACAATAGTATTGTACCTTTGTCTAAACAAACATGAATGCAGTCTCTAATGTACAGTAAATCAAGTTTTGAATGAATTTCAATTAAAAGCTACAGTATATATATATACTAAAAGTTAACTTGCTATAGCCAAAAGTGTCATAATCAAAGGACGTCAGATATGATTTCTTTAATTTATATGCAGAAGAATTCACATACGTGTTCATACATGTATCAGAAAAAAATAGACGTTTAATAAACAAATCAGTAAAAAAATAAAATTAAATAATGATATTTCAATCTATTTATCTTATTTTACCTACCTGTGTAGAAGATTACGTAATATACTTAGGCAATGATTTATTTCTACACTTCAACATTCAGAATAAATATCCTGATCAAACCGCTATAAAACTATCTGTGTAAGAAATGATTAAGTGCACCTGAGAACAGGAAATCCTGCTATCAATATATCCTGTACAATGCAAACAATTCTGAGCACCAGATACTAAGCTCTGGCACCGACTTACTTTTAAGTTACTAACTTCTGTGTCACAATCATCATATATATGTACTAGGTCAATCACTCCATTAGATTGTGTAACTTCTAAATCAGGAGAAGGAATTCAGCGTTTCTTAGATCAGAGTTATTTAAAGGATCATTATAAAATACATACATGTGTAATTGATATCATTACTTATATGTTCAGCAAATTACTACAGTACTGGCTGAAGTTCCTTTACATTCCTTAACTTAAGGATGAGGACCCTGTCCCACTACACAAAAGTTTTTCGTATATACAGTAGTAACCTCCCCTTAATTTCGTTTTGGATATATAACTGTTGCACAGTTGGACCAAGACATTTCAATCGGCCAGGTAGCTATAGCTAGCAGAGTTTGTTACAGAAATGTAGATGTTTGAAATCTTAGCGTTTGAAAATAGAAATAAAAGTAAAATAAATGAAACAAGAAAACTTCTGGAGTCAAACTCTGGACCTTGATATTACAAAGGCTACATTTTACCAATGTGACAATACAGAAATTATACAAACAAAGTATTAAAATCAGTGTCCAATTCATAATTATGGACCACAAAGCATATATATGAAAACACTTAACAGGGGGTGATACATGTATAATGTATCCTAAGCTAGAAATATGTGATTGCCTATGTAGAAGGGAGATTATTCCAAGTCAAA